GGCAAGCACCGCGACGAACTACGGTGGCACGACCATGTTAGCGGCGCCGGGAAGACAGTAGCAGTGCAAGTGGGGTGCACACGTCAAGGAGGACTGCGAGGCGAGGCTGGGGGTGCAACCAATTTGACTTGGGATGACAGGGTGGGTAGTGCCCATTGCAATGGCGGCTTAGCCTTTAATGGCGCGACGGCGGACGTCCGGCTCCAAATTAGAGCTTGCCAAGGCGCGATTGGACACGGTGCGGGGTCGGTTGGCTAGCTGGCTCGAAGACGGAGTTGGGGGCGCACCGAATTGAAGAGACAAGACAAAACCATGCCGGATTGAAGGCACGACCTGGCTGGCCCGGGCAACAGAGGAGGGAGGGGAAAAGAAGGGAATGGGTCCGGCTGCTTGCCCAAGTATTGGCTAGACACGGCGGACGCACATGCGCAAGCACTATGAGCCAACGTAGCCAGGAGGGGGGCGTACCCGCGTGCGGGTGGTGGTAGCGTAGCAGCGCGGCCGTGGCGCCGTTAATGGTGAAATGACACGCGCGACCTCAGTAAGCCCACGTGCATGAATTCGTGACGACAATGACGCAGAGACGTAGGCGGACGCGATGCAACACTGTGGCGCGGCGATGACAGCACGGCGCAGCATGGTGACGGGACGACGGTGGCACAGCGGCACAGGCGGACGCGACACAACGCTGTGGTGCGGCGGTGACCCGACGAGGCAGGCGGCCAGGCGGCAGCGGACCGGCCAGGGCATCGGGCCCGCCGAGCGTGGCGGTGCATGGCGCGGGAGTGTGCGTGCTCTGCTCGTGCAACATGTGCCTGGCGCGGTAGCGTTGATGCGGAGCCTATGCAGTGGTGTGCGCGCGTTGGGCAAGTTGGCGCTGCGACGCCGAGTGCCGAGGCACAGGGACTGCGCGTAGTCGCTGAAGCCGTCCGAAAACGTGCCATGCACGCTTTTTTAAAGCGTCCTAAAAATCCAATTCGTTGATTCAAACGTCAAACCACCTATTCTATACTCGAGAGGGCATGTTAGGCTACTACAACAAGCCCTAAAACCACATCACTCCTTAACCCAATTGCTCTACAAAAATTGTCAAACACAGCTTTGTCAAACCATTTTTTAGACTTACGAAATCGACTAAGTCTTGATCGGATTCGCGTCAAATTCACTTTCCAAGGTATTAGGTATGCTAGCTAATGAATTCATTTTTCGACCGCAGGTATTTCATCGTCATCTATAAGGTTTGTACTTCTAACCTAATTAATGTTCCGTATAAACATTCTATAGTATTTTCGTTCAATAAAAATTCACGAACATCCGTACTTGATAATTTCATACATCACGAACAACCTTTCGTTATGCATTTCCGTTGGTCGTTTTAAGTTACGTAAATTGATTTACACCCTATATTACGTACATTACACATAAATATGATGCTCATGCAGTGTTTTACTAAATGATTTATAGTGTAACATCGAGGGTGTTACAGTCTTCTCGTGCAAAGGACGGCCCACGCACACAGGAGAACAATGGGCCAGCCCACGCGCCCCTTCACTTCCTGGGAATTACCGGACCAGCACAGGGGTTTTGCCGGTTGGGCCGGTGCGCCCAACAGAGGGCCCCCCGCCGGTAATTCAGGCTAGTTGGGCTGGAAATTCCGGCCAGGTAGCAACAGGCCCCTCCAAAGAGCAGTAGCTTCTCCTTTCTCCAAAGAGCAGTAGCTTCTCCTTTTCCTTTTCCTTTTAAGTGCTAACTTTTCCAAGAAGTTCCAAAACAAATTAGGCACATGAGTTAGCACTTCACAAAAGAATTTTCAGGGTTTTCTCAAGCACCTCACCATGTCACTAAGCGCAATGCATATGCAAATGAACCTCACACTTAGTGGGACTAGATGATCATTGCAATTAAAGATTTCCCCTCTCTATAGTATGACCATCTATCCTAAATCCAACCGTGCACTCTGTTGCACCTTGGTTGGCAAAAGCAAAGCCCTATCATATACCTTTGCTTTATGGTTCGCTTTTGCTCCATCTTCTCACCATTTGATGAACCTTTGCATGTATGTGATCATAATCTCCATCTCCATCACCTCGTATGCCATGTTCATCACCATCAAGTGGACACTAGCCAATCATACTTAATTGTACTTAATGAAAGCATTAGTCCACACAGTCAACACTCAATTACCAAAACCAAACTAGGGCTTTCACCTGTGGGGAATCCCCCTATTAGGCCTAATTTGGAAACTTCAATCCCTCTGGGATCCTGGACTTTTCCCTGGGTGAGTAATCCATGGGGATGCCATTTTAGTTATCATCTTAGTTCTTCATAGGAGTTTTCCATCTCTAGGTTTTGCTCCCCCTTGCTTCCAAAGTAGGCCATAGGGGCCAAGTATGGGAGCAAATTTATCCCCATGGGGATCTAAATGGGGCCAAATCCTTCCCCGTAGGGTCTGGCGGGGCCGGGGATGGGGGAGCAGTCCCCGTACCCACTCCCCATGGATCCCCGTTTAGCACTTCATCATCTATATGCATCTAGTTATCTATCTGCCATAGAACTCAATCCATACATTCATTCCCTTTCTCAACCCGAAAAGAATTTTGCCCGCACCCTGGCGCCCGTCTCCCGAGCGAGTCCCACCCAAGTGTCGCCGCCATTCCTTCGCCCTTTAGTGTTTTCGCACGATAGCACCTGAGCGCTACATACTGCCCCTTCCATCTCCGGTCTCCCCACTTGACTACTTGAGCGGCGCCGGTGCCGTCCGCGGCCAGCACCTCCTGTCTCCCACCCGAGCACGCACTTGCCTCTCCCCGTCTCCGGTCTCAAACTTGAGTCCGCCGCCTGCCTGCAGATGCAGATCTTCATCCTGCAGCCCGCCCGCCCACTCAAGTTTGCAGATACAGATGCTTCGTCCTAATGCGAACCACTTATGGCTTCACCTGGCTTCGAGGTAGGTGAGCAAATTTAGATGTAGTTAGCTGTGAGCACGCCTTAGCTTCGTCTTTTTTCTTTGGCTACGTCGGGGCCAGGGACCCCGTCGAGTATGGAATCCCCCTGCGGGGCACGGATGGGGAGGAATTCTCCTCCGCGAGGGTAAACGGGGACGTGGAATTCTTTGCCCCGCGGGGATGGGAATGGGGAGGCGTTCCTCGGCAGGGAATTCCCCGTTACCATCCCTAATCAGACTCTAGAACATTGATGAGATGTTCAATAACTTCCTCGTCAACCAATGCCTAGATGCATTTAGGCCATTCTCAATTGAGAATTTCATGACATTATTTTCAAGACTGCCACACAGATAAAATATAGATAAAACATCCATCCTCAATGCATAGTTTCATTCTATAGTTTTATATATATTTGATTTTATGATTTATATAGAGTCAGTAATTGTGTCAAGAGAGCACTTATTCTCTCTTTTCTTAAAAATACTGCCATGTTGATAATAACATCTATGTGGCAGCCTATTAAATAAAATGAAATTTACCATAAAACTCTGGCCTTAAACATTGTGTAAAGAGTAGTGAGGGTTTAGAATCCACAGCATCGTACAGAGAGCACTTCGAATTTTCAGTCACGTGTCTCGGTGTCTGTGGTGACATATGTCTGTAGCCTCTTTTTTTTTTTTGAGACAAACATGTCAGTGTCTGTGGTGACATATGTCTGCAGCCTTTTTTTTTTGAGACAAACGTACATCCGCAGTCGGTAGTGATTGTTTTGCCAATCTCCAAACACATGCATGGATCCCGGATAAGGAGGACTAACATAATTTCCCATAGTACAAGGAACGCACGGACGAAAATCCTACTTTTATGAACACGCAAACTCTATCCCTATGAATACCTTCGAAGACTGGGCTGGCAAATCCTCAAGACAAGTTAAATCCTGAAATATTTGCTCCCACAGGGAGTCGAACCCAGGACCTCAGGTGCTACTGAGTCTCTTGTAACCACTGAGCTATAAACATTGTTAGCGTGGTCGCTTTTGTTGTGATTGTGTTGTTTATTTTAATAAGTTTTTTGTCTAACAGATAGACGGTGACAAAGGAACTGGAAAAAGGTGCTCCGTACGAACAATGTTTATTGGTAGGTGCCGAATTTTTTTTCTTACCGGTGCGTCTGCTCGGCTGATATTAAAACTGACTAAAGTTATTTTGTTATGAGAGAAAAATACTATAGATTTTAGTTGATAAGTCTACTGATAAACTGTAGCGAACAGGCCTAGCCGGCCCTGCTTCTCCGCCACCTCCTAGGCTAGCAGCTAGATCCTACCGCCACCGGCCCGGCTCTGCCACCATAGGGTTGGCTCCGCACCAACACCCTTCATCGCCTATCCTATCTGTGCGGGAGCTCACCACCTCTGGACGCCTGCCTGACGTCATGGTGGTTGGTGGGTGTGGCCACACGCCCACACCCCTACCGGTCTACCTAGGTTTTGATTTGTTTGTTGTTTGAGTCGCCCCGCTGCTTGTTCACCTCACCGTGCTACTCCAACAGCAGCGTCGACTACATCGGCCTCTGCTTCTTCTCGTGGTCCTATCATGTCTCGTGCGCAACTGTGGCTGGTGAGGAAGGCGCCTGTTAGTTCATGTGGGGGCGTGGCGGAATAGGCTCGGCAACAGATCTTACATCGGCGTCGTAGAATCTGATTGCTAACCATGGAGGGGCAGGTCCCCATTGATGGCTAGCTTGATTCGTATTTGATTTGTGATTAATCTGGGATATGTGCATACTGATTTGTTGAGTTAAGCGGAGACTTGGGCAGTCTTGCTGTTTGGGAGGAGGTTACGGGACGAGCAGACCCACGTGTCAGAATTGAAGGAGAGGGAGAGGGAGACGCATGCACAGGCGGTGCCTCTATTGTGTACATTGTATAACTTTATTACTCATCTTCGTATATTGACAACAAATAATCTACAACATCTTGACAAAGTGACGATGAACAAAGTACTTGTAGTAAATTGCTAATCAGCATCACACTCGTGTGTTTGCTGCTGCCGACGCTCATGCCCGGACCAGCTGCTCGAAGTTGACTGGCGTGGTGAACTGCTCGGGGCCGTCGTAGAACGCCGACGCGATGACCTCCGCGCCGCGCTGCGTGGGATGGCCGTAGTCCCAGAAGAGGTGGTACCGGCGGTCGCCGCACAGCGTCGAGTTCGGCTGGCCGGAGACGCTCTGCGCCCCGAGCCGCCCGCCGCCGCAGCACGCGCTGTCCACGTCGGCAAACCCTGCGGTGGTCATACAGGTCGCCGAGGGAGTAGGTCAGGCCGTCCAGGCGGTGGTCATCGCCGGAGCCGAGGCTCGCCAGGAGAGACCTGAGCGCGTCGTCGAAGCCGGCGGCGAGCGCGTCGGCGCCGTCGTCGCAAGCGCCCGTCGGGCTCTGCAGGCGCTCTATTGGCGCGCACCCGATCCGGCCCACGTTGATCACGGCAAACTTCCTCGCAGGGGCGGAGCCAGCCCTGTTCATTGCTGTCAGATGATTTCCTGAGATTTTCATTGCAAATTGATGCTCATACGTGAACTGATTTTCATTGCAAATTGATGCTCATACGTGAACTTAAGCCATGACGTAGTACTTATGACATCAGTGGAATTTTGGCTGGATCCGCTACTGCTTCCTCGCACCCATCCCGTACAACCCCTGCGTGAAATTATAAATTGTTACTGTCTTTTAACGAAATAAATTTGTTATCAGTCATCTTGTTTTAATAAATGTCATATGTTTAGCTGGAAATAAAAAAAAATCAGGAATTTCAGTTTTACTGTGATGGTGGCTGAGTAGTTGGAGATGAGGTCGGAGTAGAAGGCGGCGACGACGGCGTGGCTCTGCATCTGGCCATTGTTTGCTAATGATGTGGCGAACGCGGCCATGTCGTTGGTGCCGATGGCGATGAGGAAGAGCGATTTGGAGAGCAGGTGCTTCGCCGTGGTGGCACCCAGTTTTAGTACCATCTGAGCCTTGGTCGCATCGAAGTTGCGCACTTGCTTTGACAACGGGATGTTCTTCCCGGCGAACTATATATGCAAATACAGTACAAATTAACTAACATGCATGATGGTCCGAGCAAATTGTACGGCTAGCGCATGATGTCAAAGTCATATGTGCTCATAGTCAGCGTTGAGATATATCTCTGTCTGTCTGTCTCCGTCGGTTCCTTGGACATGCATGAAGCATGAGCTGGTTAATAAGTTTGACCCGAAAGATATGATGATCTCTGAAGTCTGACCTCGCTCGCGCATGCAACGATATGCGTGCACGAAATCACACTTATCATGCCGAAAGATAACTCATGTAATTAATTTCGCTTTTTTTTTTACAGATTTTTTTTACAGATTTGTGTGATCTGAACTTTGTGGCTGCTAGCAGCTACTACTCGATCGGCTGCACAGTTACGGTAGAAATTAACACATTTTTTCCTCTGCAACGACACATTATATATGCTGAAATAAAGCTGAATGATAACTTACAGTGGAGTCGAGAATCCCAGCTCCTCCAGAAGCATAGTTCACTCGGCCGATGCCCCTGGCGACGAGACGATGTCGTCGGCCGGAGCGCCGCGAGAGCGACAGGTACGCCGGCGGGCTCCTCTTGAACCCCATAGCCTTCGCTGCACCCATTCATGTCCGTCTGGCGTCAGCTCGAGCTCCCCCGTGCTAGCCAGTCGTCGCGCATACCACGAAGTGCACACAGCCAGAAACAAATAAACAACTCCAGCGCGCCGTCGATCGAGAGGGAGAGAGAGTACATACCAACCAAGTCGGCGACGTTGTAGCCGTTGCTGAACCTTCCGGTGGGTCTGGCGCCGTCGGGGAAGTCGACGCCGTAGTAGGGCATGTTGGCCCGGGGGACGTCCGCCCCTGGCAGGTAGTTGTTGTTGCCCACGTCCAGGAGCGAGTCCCCGAACACGTACACCTCCGGCACGGCCGTGGTCGTCGGCGAGCGCCGCCAGTTGGATGGATATCGTCGTCGCCATCGCAAGTGTAACGGCGGCACCAATACCACCGTTGATGGCTTGGTGGCGCCGCATGGTCGTGCTCGTTGGTCGTCTGCAGGCTGCAGTCTGCTAGTTGATTCAATTACAGAATGCTTAGGAGATGATCCATTCTCTGATATGATGCCTAATAAGAGAGGAATATCATCAGCAATTCAGCATAGCCATCATGGCATTGACTCTGCAGCTGCACCTCCCCTGAAAATGACGGCAAGAGTTTTAGTCCACAAATTTATCAGTATATAGTAGGAGGAGAGAGATCAAAGTTATAAACAAAACACAAAAAAATGCATGGAAACGTAATTTCTACCCGGCTATTTTCTCCTATCCAGCTTTTAGTCAAACACATGGAAACGGCCTAGATCTTAACGTTTTCGACTTCATAAGAGCATCTCTTGCACTACTACCTAAAACAGGGTCCCTACTTTTGTATTTCGGATTTCGGTAGCCACCTATTTTGATACTACTTATTCTTTTTGTTGTTTCAACTCTAACCCATCCCAACTTGCTTGAGACTAAAAAGCTTTGTTATTGTTGTTGTTGTTATTTTGTTATTTCCTCCCGCAGCACTACCTAAAATAGACCTCCAAATTCATCCTAGTACAGAATGACATGCAGGATGCACATATCATCCTCTTCATTCTCTTATCGCCATAGAAAAAACTCGGCCATCTCCCTACAGACTCGCCATGGCCTCCGGGAAAGAGCCAGCTGGGAGGTTGCGATGGTAGGGAGGAGGTGCCTGCTGGGGGGAGGAGGCCGTGGCAGAGGAGAGGTACCTCCGCTGGGGAGAGGAGGCCATGGTGGAGGAGGTGCTGGATCTGCCTGTCGGACCCGAAGATGGCCGTGGAGGCGCGGGACTGGGAGAGGAGTTGTCGGTGATGGTCGTGTGGAGTCACGGCGACAGCTGTGGAGGCTGGATCTACCCTCGTCAGCCTGCTGTCATCACCGGTGGCGATGGAGAGGGGCTCGACGGCGGCGGCATTGTCGTGCCCGGGCTGTCCCGCAGTGGCCGTGTGGAGGCGCGGCTTGCCCTCGGTGTGGCCAGATGTGGTGGCCGGGGATGCGAACGACAGCGAGTGAGGCATGCAACGGCGGCGGAGCGTGCGACCGCGAGGGAGGAAGAGAGCGCACGATAGGCGCGGGTGCTCGCAGTGGGTGGGTGGGTGGGTGTGGGGGGGCGGGGTCCAATGAATTTTTAGGTCCCCATGTGTTGGCCAGGAACGAGTAGTAGGAGGAGAAAAGTAGAGGGCCAATAAAAGTTGGTCCCTTAGTAGGTAACTTGTTGGAGTTGATTTTTTGTTCCACCGCTAAACAATAAAGTAGGGGCTTTGTTTAGATAGCCTGCTAGAGAGGCTAGGCTGACTAGCCCATAACGAATCTAACAAGGGGTGCCTCACTGACATGGTGAAGGCATATAATGCAAGATAGAGTGGAGATCATGGACTGGTGTGGGGTAAGAAGTATAGAGATGGAGCGACAGAGGCTCATCTATATATGGCCCTACCCTCGCTAGGATGCGCTGCTCAAGAGCTTAGCCATGAGGATCTATCCTGGCATGCGACATCAGGGTAGAGAGTAGGTAGGGAAAGGGACCCATTTGGACCCCGAACGACACTCTATGTCAAATTAAGGGACCTAGCAAATAATATACTAGGACAAATAAGGGGCTTGAAAGGGAATTTGAAGAGTTTTGGAACTTGGATGACATTAAAAGACAAAATTATGAAATTAAAAAAAAGTATTTTGAGAGTTTGAAAATCTGAATGACATCTAATATATGACAAGTTCAGTGATCACCTTGAAGAAATAGATGCACTCATTGTGGAACGTAAATGTTGTTTCATTTACTTTGAGTTGTAATTATTGCTATGGGTCACATTATCACAAGAATAAACAAATGAAGCACGCACGCAGGCACGGAAGAAATACATAAGCACATACAATATTTCCCTTTTGTTTTTTTAAAAAAGAGAAATCACTGGACGATCGAGGGGCCTCGGAATGATTAACTAACAATCAACTACTCATCATGTTGGCCAGCTGCTTGAAGCTGATGGGCGAGGTGTACTGGGCCGGGCCATCAAAGTACGCCTGGGCGCCCAGCATGGCGGCCCGCTGCGACGGGTGCACTGAGTCCCAGAAGATGTAGCGGTCGCGGGCGGCGCACAGCGTGGCCGTGGGCGTGCAGTCGCCCTGCGCGCCCAACCGCCCGCTCCCGCAGCAGGCGCTGTCGGAGCTCACGAACCCTAGCCCCAGCGTGTTGGCGAACGTCGCTTGCGTGAGGCCGAAGCGGTCGGCGACGGAGTAGGCGAGCCCCGGCAGCTTCGGGGCGAGGGCGGCTATGGTAGACTTGAGGGCGGCGTCGAAGCCGGCGGCGAGCTGGTTCATGCCGTCGGCGCACGCGCCTGTGGCGTTGAGCACGCGCACGCGGGGCACGCAACCGACGGGACCCACGTTGATGATGCCAATCTTCCTCGCGCCTAGCTTGTACAGCTCCTGAAATGTATATTATATTTGTATGTATATATTAGTTATGATGTGTAGGTATAACCTGTTTTTAATTGCCTTGTTTTTGAAACAAGAGATGTATTCATAGGTTGTGTATGGTTTACAAATAGACAATGGCGGCTAGAGTAGCTAGCATGAATGAAAGTATGAAAGAAAAATAATGTCTATTTTGTGTATATTGTCAACGAGAGCTAATGCTACATGCCTACATACATCATCAATATCTACATTCTGAATATCTCGGTCGACCGAATGAACCTCCAAGTCGGACGATGCATATATGGCACATGCAGTGTCACCTTAGGAAGGCTATATACGCGTCTGCTTTCTGACAGAGACACGCTTGCAACTGTATTATACTATATATGTTATACTGTCCAACAACACTTCAACTTGTTATTTTTTTAGAGACCTGTTCAACTTTGTTATGGTAAGTGACAAACAAGATATTACAACATACATATAACTAACCTATAGCTAGTATAAATGTTATTGTGCTAGCTAGCAAGCTAGCTTTCCAGCAAATATGACCTATAGATTGACGGGTCTGGGGCATAAAGTTTATTCAGTATATAACAAAATAATGAAGAACATGCCAGAGAGATCATATACAACTATATACAAGAGAATGAACGCATGTAAAATAAAAGCAGGTAAGGGTTGGTCGTCGATCATATATACCGTGATGGTGGCGGAGTAGTTGGAGAGGAGGCTGCCGTAGAAGGCCGTGACGTCGCTCTGCGTCGCCGTGCTGTTCTGCTTGGCCTGCGCCGTCGCGAAGGCGAAGAAGTCGTTGCTGCCGGCGCCGACGAGGAAGAAGGAGTTGGAGAGCAGCTTGCTCACCGCTTGGGGGCCCACCTTGGCCTCCATCTCGGCCTTGGTCGACTCGAACAGCCGCACCTGCTGCGACAGTTTCCTGCGTTCTGAAAGCATGCATGCACATCAAATTATATTATTAATCTGTATATATAAATGTATATGATGTGTATATATATACACGTAAGTACACATGGTGGTTGGCGGATTCGCTAGTATTAGTGTTTTTTTTTTGAAAGGGTTAGTATTAGTGTACGTATTATTACACGTACACAGATCACTTGCACAGCGACGTCGCCGGAGTAGTTAGTACTTAAGTATATGCTCTCGTCATGCACTCGTGCGTGGTGTGCACTACTACATGATAATCGTTATCTGTGGTACTGGTTACATTCTTCACACCTAACCTGCCCAGCTTGTTTATTACTACTACTTCCATCCAATTGCAAGTATATATATCCATCTAGGTTTTTCATTCTAACTTTGACCAGCAATCAGGTTTATTTCCTGAATGTGTTTCTGCTTTTCTTAACATGTCTCAAACTGCTGTATTTCCTTTAGCTGGTTAATGAAAATAGGAAATGCCTCGGTTAGAGAGGAAAAACCTTGACTATCAATATCTATAAATATATGCATCATCTTAATCTTGAATGAATAGAGTTAAGAAAGTTTTTTTTAGTGAATCTTGTGATATGAAAATCTTATATTGCTAATCTCTACAAAAATTTTAGACATTAAAGGTCAGAAATAAAAGGTTTAGCAAACTGAGCGTAGCTCAGCTGGTTGTGTTGAAACCAAATCCAGGATTTAACCGTATGGTTCTGTTAGTGGTAGAGACGACATGTCCGTCAACAACCATGTGTCCGTGGTGACTTTGTCAATTTCAAGACCTCCTGGCTTAATCTTTCGGATATGCTCATAGGGGGTTGGGGGTGTATATGCACATTCATAGGAGTGAGTGTATGCGCATGTATTAGTGTGTACACCAATACTGTGTAATTAAAAAAAAAACTGAAAAGGTTTAGACTTCGGACAAAACTACTGGCACTACAGGAGAGGCAAAATTCCCCGAGTGTCGCAGGCTTCCCCGAGTGCCAAAAATCGGGCACTTGGCAAAGCCAATCTTCCCCGAGTGTTGCACTCAGGGAAGAGTAGCACTCGGGGAAGAGAGGCTTTGCCGAGTGCCGCAGAGTGCCTAGCACTCGGTAAACAGCGGCACTCGCCAAAGGCCCTCTTCCCCGAGTGCAACACTCGGGGAAGAGCGGCACTCGGCAAAGAAAAATGTTACTTGACGGTCCAGCACGCCCACGCCGTTAAAAAAAATTGCTTTGCCGAGTGTCGCACCCTGGCACTCGGCAAAGAGGCTGGCTTCCCCGAGTGCCCTGTCATGGCACTCGGCAAAGGGCCTCTTTGCCGAGTGCCAGGGAAGGCACTCGGGGAAGAAATTTTTTTTTGTTTTGTTTGTCCCATTTTTTTGTGATGCCTTCTCACATTATTTAAAACTCCTTGTTCAAATTTGAGACAATTTTGACTTTTTTTGGTATATTTCGTTAATTTTTTTCGTTTCGTTGAATTTTTTTGCATACTTCAAATTTAAACTGCAGGTGCATGAAATAATGGAATTTGGTGATTCAAAAAATGATATTCATGATATTTGGTGTATGTTGAGGCCGTATCCAGGAACTCACATGAAATGTTGAGCATCTTGTTGACGTAACATGACGAGGTACTTGCGGGAAAAGTGTATTTAAATCATATAAAATCCGAACAAAGTCCAAAAATCACGAAACTTGTCGGGGCATCATGTTATCGCATGTAGATGCTATGATAAAAAATTGAGAAGGTTTCGAGTAAGTTGTGATGTCGGATGTCTAAAACCCAGACATCTACCTGGCATTTTCTTGCTTTTGATAATAACTTGACCGGCCATATCTATATTATTTGGCCCTTTCAGAAACTGAAGCTCAGCTCAAATAAACTCACTCTGTTTCCCTCTCATTGATCTTGAAAGTGGTGAGAAATGGATCATGATGATGTGGCTGGCTTTTATTAGTGGAGGTTAATTGCAAACATATATTCCTGACCTCGATCTGAGACTTCTAATTAACCCAGTACAGTACGCAGCGGGATCTGTTCTTTTCATCTTTGGTATTAATATGTTTCTTGATTCGAATGGGCAGGGCCTACCTAAACCTTGGATCTGGTGGTATTAATATTAACTCCTTGAACGATCCTTGACATTGGAGCATGTACAGATCAGCGAGCAGTAGAGTATAAAGGTACTTCCATTGGCACACTACTACCACATGCCATGCATGTTGTGCGTGCTCTCTATTAATTTGTCAAGTTAGCATGACATATAGCTTGTATAGACAGCGAATCGATCGATGTTTACTTGCAGGTGTCCGAACTCCTGAGCTGACACATCCCGGTTGATGAATGGCAGGTGATTCAACTAATTAATTCATTGTGATATGTGAAGAAAATAAAGCCAAATCAACTCTTCTGCTGAGGGTGGAGCTGAGGCCACCGACTGGCCAAATCTGGTCCGCTTCAGCTCAGCTCTGCTCTCGATCCCGGGGCTTCCTTTCTTGGCATACGGTCCGTCCACCGACAACAACCACATAGGCGTCGGTCCTGCCTGGGGCATGTGCTCAGCTCAGCTCGATAGATAAGGTAGCAGCGACCAAATTTGCTAATAATAGCATTGTAATTAATTTTTGGAATTGTGTGACCATGATCAAATTACAACTACGTGATGGAATCCGTGTGCTTAATTCTATCTCGGTCTATGCAACAGGGTGTGTGCTCGTGCTTAATTACTCGATCTAGCTTCTATTTGTACTCGCAAGTCAGGTTTTCCAAGTCTTCTATGTGGGTGCCACTAGAAACAAGAGACGACGAGTGGTTCTCCCTGGGAAGAAGCGGGTTGTCGGAGTTGAAAATCAAGTGGAGGAGGAAGAGTTCAATTATCAATCTAATGAAATCCCTCCTTTCGATACTTCCATCCTCCCTAAGATTTCGGCAAGCGAACTAACGCCATACCTAAGAGATGGTCATAAGGAGGATGGCCCCATGGCAAAAAGACGCTGAAAACGGCAAGTACACACAAAATAATGCTAATGTGAGTTTTGAATATGCCCTGTGATTTTTTTAGAACAAGGTGATTTAGCAAACTGCTTAACTTGTTGTTTATTTGTGCAGGTGAGCTCCTCAACTGCTTAATTTGCTGGTGCTGAAATTTGAGCAAATGGAATCTGATATATATGATATATATATACTTGGTAGAGATAGGAGCTAGCATGTGGATGTATATGTTTAACTCTTGCAGTTGGTTGCTTTCTGGTGTAAAATTCTAGAACTGAGTAATTAATAACTATATATATATGGAATAAATTATTGGTGTTGGAGTTGGCATCATGCATACTAAGTATCTCCGTATATACATCATGCATATTATTATATTCAACACGATAAGATTTGCACAATTCTTTTTTTTTTGCACTCATAACTCTTTTCATTTTTAAGATTAAGTTTATACACTCTCTCTATATAATAGAAAGAATAGACAAGTGACGTTTAATTTTTCAGGAATGTATCGGAGAGAACTGGAATGGTCAGTTTTACTTACAGTGGAGTCGAGAATCCCAGCTCCTGCCGATGCATAGCTTACTCCTCTTGTGATGGCGCTCGGGATTAGCTTATTCTTCGCTTTCAGCTCCAGATAAGCAAGAGGGCTCTTCTTGAATCCCAGAGCTTTTGCTGCGTAGTACATATATACATATGAGTAGGCATGCATCATAATAATATGTATGTATAAGCACCAGTGATTAATGAATAGACAAGATAAATATAAACTTCCCAAAAGCATCATTTCTTGTTCTTGCATGCTTACCGACGAAGTCAGCGGTGTTGTATCCGTTGCTGAACCTTCCTGTGGGCTTGCCGGAGCCCGGCAAGTCGATGCCGTAGTACTAGGGCTTGTCAGCCCTGGGGACGTCCTTCCCCGGCAAATAGTTGTTGTTGCCGACGTCCAGCGTCGAGTCCCCGAACACGTACACCGCCGGTACCATCGCCGGCAGCAGCTTGCTCGGCCGGATGGCGGCGACGGCACCGACCACGAGGCTGAGGACAAGAACCTTCATGCCCACCTCGTACCCCATCATCGAATGAGTGCTAGTTGTACACAGCTTAATGAGCTAGCTAGTAGTAGTACTATATCTCGCTCATGAGGATGCTTAGCTTAGCTTGTGTGCGAGTTAGTTGATGTGGCCAATCAAGGTGCACCTATATCTATATATAGGCAGTGTCTCCCAAGGTTTTCAACTCATCTTTTTTTAAAGAAAAAGTTTTCAACTCATCGACCAAGTCCCGGTCTTAATCATGCATTGTTGTATTCTTTTACTACCCACCATATACGCAGCCTGCCTGCATGCTATACACATTTATATATATACAAATCATGAGCTACCAAGCTGAAGACGAGTCAGGAGATCGAGTTCATGTCCAATGAAAAAACACTACGGGAGAACGTAGATTTGCCGAGTGCCGCCAGCTTTGCCGAGTGTCAAAAATCGGGCACTCGGCGAAGCCACTCTTTGCCGAGTGCCGGACCGGGTGGCACTCGGCAAAGAGTGGCTTTGCCGAGTGCCACAGAGTGCCCGGCACTCGGCAAAGGGCGGCACTCGGCAAAAGCCCTCTTTGCCGAGTGCAACACTCGGCAAAAAAAATGGCACTTGACGGCCGAGCCCGCCCACGCCGTCAAATTTTTTAAAAAAATTCTTTGCTGAGTGCCGGCCCTGGCACTCGGCAAAGAGGCCTTCTTTGCCGAGTGCCAGTTTCTGGCACTCGGCAAAGGACCTTTTTGCCGAGTGCTAGGGCCGGCACTCGGCAAAATATTTTTTTTTGACCCATTTTTTTGTGAGGCCTTCCCACGTTATTTAAAACTCCATGTTCAAATTTGGGACAATTTTGACTTTTTTTGCTATATTTTGTTAGTTTTTTTTGTTTCGTTGAATTTTATGGAATATTTCAAATTTGAACTGCAGGTGCATGGAATAATCGAATTTGGTCGTTCAAAAAAT